GAAAAAAAAAAAAAAAAAAAAAAAAAAGACAGCAAACATAATCACCTCAAGGTTAAGTGAGAAATGACATGGCCTCATTCACAGTTTACATTAACTTTAAAATTAAAATTCACTGTCAGGCAAAAAGTACAGTCCCTCGTTAATCCCTAAAAAAATGAGATGCCAGCTATTTTCCTAATGTGCCAGCAGGTCTACCACGACACCAAACTCTAGGTTCCCCGTTTAATGCTCTTCTTCTTGCCCCGACTTTATGTAATTATTTATCTATTTTTGGTTTTTCAGCCCAGGGTGGCCATGAATGCACAATGATCCTCCTGCCTCGGCCTCCCAAGTGCTGGGATTACACACATGCGCCCCCACACCTGGCTTCTCCCCACTTTAAAATCAAGTCCCTGAGACTCCAGTGCCCTCTGCATATCACACTGGTTCGGGGTGAGAAACCCAAACCGGCTCCACCTGCACAGGCTGCGGTGCAGAGCCCAACCCACGGTACACTGGTGAGGGCTGCCCCTGCAGCCTGCCCATGGTGCCAGGCCTGCCACCCACTTCCTTCCTGCTGTCCAAACTCGACTACAAACACTGCTAATGAGAACCAGGCTCAAAACCCCAAAACCATCAACAGCCGCTCATCACAATCCCCGCTTCCACTCGTCCGTGGCACTGCCGCCCTCCCCGGCCTAGTCAGTCTTTAAAAATTTACATTTCCAACACAGATGGTATCTTACAGTCAACGGTTTTTAAAACTTCACACTATGAATATTTTTCCATTTCACAACAGTATCAGTGTTTCTTCTCATCTTCTCACGTGAAATGCCCAACACTACGTTCACACCGAGTGGCTCCTGGAGGCAAGGATGGGGCCTCTGCTCAGCAGCTTCCTCTGCACCCCCTTAGCAAGCCCTGGGCAGCCTTCTCCATTAGGGACCACAACCACTTTTAACAGGAAAGCGTGTCAGCGTGCAAGCAAGGGTACATGTTCTACACATGCTCACGGGCAGTATGTATATTACGGGCAGTATGTATATATACAGCCACACACACGAGCATGTTCACTGGGGCACTTCTGGTAGGAAAAGACAGGAAGACCGAATGTGCACAAACAGGAAGTAACTCACAGTCCCCGGGCACAGAGCAAGCCAACCCCCGACTGCTCACTGACTAGAAAGAGGCCTGAATCTCACTTAGCTCCAGACAGGAAAGTACAACACACAGCACGCAAAATCCGTCTTTGTTTTAATTGGAAACAAGAAAAATCTGGAAGGACACATATGCAGCTATGTTGCTAGGATTATAGAAGTTTCTTATTCCTTGTTGACTGTTTTTTTTTTTAACTTTTTGATCACTTGAGCAATAGAAAACTAATAAAACATAAAAGTGCTGAATCAATCCAACCTCTGTATTATATACCGAGAAGCATTAGAAAATAATGTCAATACTTGTCCAAGACCATTTGTGACCTACTAGGAAAGAAAATACAACGCAGAAATGTCCGGGAGAATCGTGTGGCGTACTGCGCAAGAGGCACGCAGCTCTTTACGATAACCACTTCCTTGGACCGCACCTTCCTCCTGCAGGGCAGTGAGGGTGTCCTCTGCGGGGACACAGGAGCTACCGTGACTCAGGCCAGCCCTCCAGATCCTCTCACACGAACCTCCAGCAGCTGGGCTCAGGCACTAGGAGGCTGAAGACGCCGTCATCTCACTGGCCCGGTCCCGCAGGGACAGAGCTGAGCATGAAGGGCCCCACCCTTGCCTGCCTACTGGAGCCACACTGGCCTGTCCTGGGCTGTCCACAGGAGTGCGGTGACACACTGAAACTTTACAAGGTTCATATTTTCAATAAGGGAAAAATCTGAACCTTAGACCCACTGCGGATGAGACGCACGTGGTACACCACATTTACAGGGTGTCCCAAGCTTCCTGTCTGGGCAGACCTCAGACGGTGCTGACACAGGCAGGTTTTCCTTAACTCTGTTCATACTCCATGATTTGAACTGTTACACAGCACGTGCATCATTACTTCTGCTTAATCCTATGCATGTTTGTCTCCTTGTAAGAGGGTCTCACTATGTTCCAGGCTGGCCTCTAACTCACGATCCACGCAGCCTCCTACAGCACCACCACACTTGGCTACTTCTGCTTAACTGGAAGGAAAGCAAGCTACTGGAGTAGCTCTGGCTTTGAAGGAGTAAGAAATAACATTTCACCTACTGTCCCTCAGCTCTGTACCTGGATGATCAGGACTCAGGTCTTCCACTGCGATCTGAACCACATCCGCCAGGTCCTGCTCTGACATCATCCAGAATGTGAGAAGAGGGGCCAGTCAAGGGGCACAAATCCAATTCACAGGGCACCTGGGTGGCTGTCACCTGTAAAAGCCAAGTGGGGGGGATGAATAAAGAGTGTGTGTGAGGTGACAAGAACAGCTGACACGCACGTGTTCCTGAAGAGTGTTTCAGCACAGGGCTCCTCTTGCCCTCAAACACCAAAGGCAGTGCTCCTGAAGGACCTGTACAAGCCCCCAGCTGACGGCTCCCCAGTTCCATTCCACCCTGCAGACCACCTCCAAGGTCACCTTCCCAGCCCAAAGTGTGGCTCAGTGGTACAGCATGTAGCTAGCATATGTAATGCCCCAGGATCGACCCCCAGCACCACACATGCACAAGAAATAAAGCTCTCTTCCTGAAAAGGGCTCAGAAACCTCACCCCCACGCTGACAGTGTCCAGTGGGCCCCAAGTGTGGATAGCAAATGCCCCGTCAGTACCTGCTCCCCAAGGGGGGTCTCAGTCCTGCTGGGACAGCCACACCTCAGAGAGCCAGCGTCCCAGCCACAGGGCTCCACTGGTCTGCAACAGTGACACTCATCCACGTTCAGAATATCCCCAAGTAGAACCTCTGTGACTTTCTTCTTAGCTATTGCAATACTTTGATTAGGCCTTGAGAGATCTAATTTTCCAAAATAAAGTAAGAGCACATTCTTCAAACTATAGTCTATTAGAACACAGATATGAATTTCAGAAAATCTAAATTAGAACCATGGGGGGAAAACCCCACAATCATTTCTAAACAAAAAACAAAATGAGCAAATAAAGAAAAATTTAAGAACATAAGAAGTGAAAAAGATGAAAAGAGTTCAAGGAAAAGTAGCACAGCTGGGTGCGGTGGCGCACGCCTATAATCCTAGCACTCAGCAGGCTGAGGCAGGAGGATTGCCAGGAGTTCGAGGCCAGCCTGGGCTACAGAATGAGTTCAAGGCCAGCCTAAACTACACAGCAAGACCCTGTCTTGAAAAACCAAGAAAAAGAAAAAGCACAGATAGGCAAAGAAGATTCAACACATATATAATAGGAGAATCTGAAGGCAAAAGCCAAACCAATGAAGTGGGATACTAAAAACAAACTGAAGAAACCTCACCTGGGCATCAGTGGTAGAGGACTCATGTAACAGATATGAGGCCCTAAACTCAACCTGCAGCAACGAAGGGATGAGGGAGAGAAAGAAAGGAAAGGAAGGAAGAGAAGAAGGGAGAGAAGAAACAAGGACAGAACTTTAAGCAAGCAAAATCACTGGAAGACACACACAAAGATCGCCTGGTGGTGAGCATTGTATATTCACACATAGAATGAACACTGTAAAGGCTATGGTACACATAGATTAAACTGCTTAAAAGGGGGCAGAAAGTAGATATACAAAACCAATTTTAACAATTTCCAGCCATCACATTGAGCAGTAGTGTTGGAAGTCCCTTCTGAGAACGTTTTGTGCATAAATGAATATTTACAAGGTATGATCAAAGAATATGGTAAAAGGTTTAAACTCTTTAAAATTCATTACAGTAAAAAACACAATGCCATTAAATCCTCCTCAAAATATTCCCCTTGTTTCACACACCCTCATCCCAGTGTCCTTGCCACTCTCTGCAGCAGCTCTGGAGTCCTCTTTCCTGTCTTTACGTGTGCTGTTATGGCCGTCCCGATGTCCTGAATCCATTCAAACATTTACCCCTCAGGGTCATTCTGACTGCGGTGGACAGTGAAAAGTTACATGGTGCCAGATCCAGTCAATAAGGTAGACAAGGACCCACTACAATGTTTTTATTTGGAAGAAATCATTGTAAACACTTCATCAGTGAAGGATGGTAAAAAATATGGTGAATGTTTAAATTAAAAATTTTATTACAGTAAAAGACACCCTACCAGTAATGCCCCTCAAAATATTACCCCTCGCTTCCAGCATACTTATTCCATCCTTCTCGGCAATGTGTCTAATTTAAACATTCACTGTATTTTTTATTGCCCATGTACAGGGATTCCGATGCTATCATTCCAGGTGTTCTTCACAACATGAAAAGGCAGATCCGGAGATCAGAGACAAGCGTCGCCAAAGTAAACAGCGGGGGGCTGCAGTATTGACCTGAATTCACAACAGACATGTGGATCAATGGAACAGAATAGTAAAAGCAGAAACAACCCCAGGCACATTCAGCTGTTCGATCTTTGACAAAGGGGCCAAAACACACACTGGAGCAAAGAAGACTCTTTAGTAAATGGTGCTGGGAAAACTGGCTATCTGCATGCAGAAGTTTGAGTCTAGGCCCATACCTCTCACCATGCCCTAAACTAAAATCAAAATGGATCAAAGATCTAAATGTTAAAACAGAAACACAACCTACTGTAAGATAAAATAAGTAAAACTCTGGAACAAAGCATAGGCCAGGACTTTCTGAACAGAACCCCAATGCACAAGAAATAGTACTTTAAAAGCCTCTGCACAGCCAAGGAAACAGACAACAAGGGAAGAGACAACTGACAGAATGGGGAAGACTTTTTGTCAACTATTCCTCGGACAGAGGACTAGCACCTAGAATATATAAAAAGAACTCAGAAAGTTAGACCCCCCCAAAAAAATAAAAGACCCAATCAAAAAATGGCTACTGAAATGAATAGACACTTCTTAGAAGTAAAAACAGCTAATAATAAATACATGAAAAAATGTTCAGCACCACTGGCCATTCAAGAAATGCAAATTAAAACAACAATGAAATTTTATCTTACTCCAGAAAGAACGGCCATCCTCCAGAAATCAGATAATAACAAATAACAGAGAGGCTGCAGGGGAAAAGGAGCCCTTCTACATTTGCGGGGAGAATGTAAACACTGGAAACTGGTATGGAAAACTAAACTAGAGATTCCAATTGATTTAATTATTCTCCCTCTAGGTTATCTCCCAAAAGAGTTAAAAGACATCATATTACAACGAAACATGCATATCATGTTTATAGCAGCACAATTCACAGCAGCCAAATCTTGGAAGCAGCCTGTACGTCCCCCAAAAGATGGATGGTTACAGAAACTGTGGTATTTATACACGATGGAGCACTACTCTGCCATAAAGAAGGATAGCATAAGCCATCCACAGGCAGGAAATGGGTATACCTGGAGACCACAGAGTTCAGCAGGATAAATCAGACTCACAGGCCGAAATATTTCATAGTTTCTCCTATATGAGAAACCAAAAGCATAAAGAAGGAGCAGAATACAGGACAGATATGGGAGGCAGGGGATCTTTTCAGATGAGAAGGGGAATGAGGGGTGGAAGAGAGGAGGGAAAGGAGAGGAAGCATCTCCAAAGGGGAAGGAAGAGGGAGCGGAAGGAGGTGGGAGCCCAGAAGGAACCGGATGTGCTGTGCGCACCAGTGTTCTGTGGTCCTGAAATACTATGCTGCCACAAAAAAGCCAGGGCTTCTTGGACAAAAAACAGTTCTTGTTACACACAGGCCAGATAGCTAATTCCTCTCACAGCAACAGAAGGTAAACATAAACCTACTCAAAAATGAACTTAAGAAACCAGAGTGAATTAAGAAACCAAAGAAAACAAAAGGTCAAAATATGAAGAGATTTTCAATCTGCTGTGTAACTGGTATAATGCAAATCTGAACAAGATGCCATTTCTGTCAGCTTGGCAAAGGCCATGTGGGGCGTCTGGCTGTCAGAGCTCAGATGCCCCCACACAGTCACAAAAAAGCCAGGGCTTCTTGGACAAAAAACAGTTCTTGTTACACACAGGCCAGATAGCTAATTCCTCTCACAGCAACAGAAGGTAAACATAAACCTACTCAAAAATGAACTTAAGAAACCAGAGTGAATTAAGAAACCAAAGAAAACAAAAGGTCAAAATATGAAGAGATTTTCAATCTGCTGTGTAACTGGTATAATGCAAATCTGAACAAGATGCCATTTCTGTCAGCTTGGCAAAGGCCATGTGGGGCGTCTGGCTGTCAGAGCTCAGATGCAGCCCCACACAGGGGTGGGTGGGTGGGTACTGCCACCACCTCTCAGGGAAGCAGGGAGCAGATATCTGTGCTCCCCACACACACAACTCGTGCATTTGTGCCAACACCTACATTAAAGAAGCAAACAGAACAACTAAGGCAGTGTTCTTTCAGCCAAAGAACGGAGGTAAGCAGAGCAGAGTAGGCCACAAGCCCAGTCACCCACTCTCTAAAAGGAGACGGCTGGATCTGCAGAAACCATTTCCAGATGAAATATGAGGTGGTCACGGGACAGGACATGGGTCGAAAAGGAAATGATTTTCCACTTTTCACTCTTTTGTAGTATCGTGCACTATATCAGTTATTATCACCTTTTCAAAAATACATTTCTTAAAAATGATCAGATAAAGCCAGGTATAGTGGTGCACGCCTGTAATCCCAGCAATTTGGGAGGCTGAGGCAGGTGGACTGCCAGGAGTTAGAGGCAACCTTGGGCTACATAGTGAGTTCAACGCCAGCCTGAAGCACATAATGAGACAAAAGCAAAAAAAATAATCAGACAAGCCAAAGCACAGTGGTGCAGGGAAGCTGAAGCAGGAGAAGCACAAGTTTAAGTCCAGCCAAAGCAACTTGGCAAGACCGCATCTCTAAATTTAAATACGGTAAATAAAAGGGGGGGTATGGCTGAGTATGAAGGCCCTGGGTGCCATACCGTCCTCCATTTGATAACACCGCCCAACCGAATTCTGCCTTGGTAGATTTAAAACAGTTTAGAGTCACAGTTGCTTTCAAACCTAATAATTTTAAAAAAGAAAAACCATACAGACCCTTCTCCAGGAAGACAGGCTAACTGTGCAAAGTTTTAGAGGCTGCACAGATTCCAGAACTCTCAGTACCCATCCATCCCCTCACCCCTGCGCTCAGTGAAGAGCCCTAAGCAGGCCCAGCCATCAGCCACTCCTTCCTAGCCTGCCCTGGCGCCACACGGGTGCTGGGCCCCGGAGCTCCTCAGAGATCTTGCTCCCCGGTTCCAAGACGAGGATGAGGGGACTGAGGAGCGAACATAGGCCCAGGAGCTGAGCTGGAAGCAAGGAGCC